GATGGATGGGGCACGGCCTTTAATAAAATGCAGTTCCGGTGAAAGGGAGAAATGAGGGCTGGGAGGTCATTAAGGACCGATGTGCAAGCCATCAAGATTGATGCCCCTTTCCGAGGCCAGAGGGTGATTCATTCCAGGAGCGCGGGAGTCCTGACGCAGTCCTCCCCGCTCTCCTGCCTGAATCTCTATCAGGCATCCAGGCAGCGTTTCTTGGACATTTCCTGGGTTGGGGTCTAGAGCACTTCCCTGGCGCTTGGCAAGGCTTTGCTGTTGGGAAGTGGCTGTCACGTACACTTGGTGAGTCCCGACTTCTGGAGGAGGTGGCGCTGAGACAGCTGATTGCTCCTCCGAGCAGGGTCAAGGCCGGACAGCCTGGGCCGTCTCTGTCCTTCCAGCTCCTCTGGACAAGGCTGCAGCCTGTCAGTGACGTCCATGGTGCAAGGGGACATCTGCTGTGCCTGTGGTCCCCCTGTCCGTGGTGGCTCCCAGACGGAGGATGTGGTAGTGCTGGGCTCGATTCTGGGGAGCCGCTGAGGACGCAGAGCTTGCATTGTGCCAGGCATGGGCCCCCAGCTCGTGGGGCAGTGGGGTCCCCAGTGCAGGTGCAGCTGGCGACAGCAGGTCCCCAGGGCCCACAGACTGCCATCCGCAGCTCTGGTGGCAGCGGTGACTGCAGTGACCTCACTGGGGCAGGTCCGCATCATGGTTTGTAAGTTGTTCCCACAGGATGTGGCTTTAGTGCCTTCCTGGGCCCTCTCACTGCTGGTGCGGGTCCCCTGATATCTTTGGGTAATCCCCCCTCTTTTCAATTGGCCAGAGTTGCTAGGAACGGTGCCTGGAGCGGGTCTCTAGCGGAGACCACTCAGTGCGCAGGGGCTCCATCCCCTCCCTTGTTCCAGCAGCTGTGCTTGTGAACACCTCCTGGCCGCCTCACTCTTCTAGGCAACTGCTCCGGCGTGAAACCCCCTGAGAATGGTCCTCAGAAACCTCGCATTCTGGCGCAGGGATTCATCCTGTGGCTCAAGGACCTTCTAGAACAGCCTCACTGCCTGTGCTTTCTCCACGTCTCACCCAGGCCTTTGACACGAGAGCTTTGAAGTGAAGCTAGTGAGGTGCAGTCAAGACCGCCCACCCCGTGGCACCGGCCACTACCTCGAGGCCACCTGCAGCGGCTGCTTTGGTCTCCAGCCCTCAGGTTCCCTCCCTGGGCTCCTGAGGGGAAGGAGGAGGGGATGAGCTCTGACTCCTCTCCCCTGGGCCCCACCCTGTCATCCTGGGCACCAGGAGAGCTGCCCGGGCACAGACCTGAAGCTACAGGAGCCTCTGCTGTCCGCTGCCCATTTGGGGGAAAAGAGGGACAGATGCCTGCGACAGTGCTAGGCTGGGAGTGCTGCCCAGGGGCTGCTCCGAGTGAGAGATCCTCAGGCTGCGGCTGCCGCGCCCCTTTGGGAGGCATGTGTTTCTGAGGTCCATGCAATGTCTCACGGGCCAGGAATTGGAGAGCCACAGGCTGTTCTGGTTCTGGTTCTGGCAGACAGGGACCATTCCCGTGCCTTCAGTTCAGTGGCCCAGGCTGCCAGCCTCACTGCAGCCCTAGACAGCTCAGGCCAGGCGAGGTGGGCACCCAGGGCCCAACCTCAGCCCGGCGGCTCCTTCTAACCTGGCCACAGGACAGGAGCCTGGGTCCAGGACCCGGAAGATAGAACCGGCGCCTGGGGCCGAGGTCTTACTGCACCCCTTCCCGACCTGTCCTGTGCGTGCTCAGTGGACTGGTGATTGCTTAGCAGCTTGAGGCTTGGCTGCCAGCACTCTGAGGGGAGGGGAGGGAGGGGACACAGACAGAGACCCCCACCCCTCAGGGAACACTCATACTACTCAGCAATAAAAAATAATGAGCGCTCAGTACCCGCGCAGCACCCTTGGAAGGCTCTTGTTATGGCTTGAATCTAAATGTCCCCGAAGGCCAGCAGGCGAGCTTCGGGAAGCGGTCCTGTCACAAAGGCACAAGTCCCACGGGCAGGTGAATCCACTGAGGAAGTGCCTCGGAGTGGGTTACCCAGAGGGCGCTTTGGTGAGGGTGTGAGCTTCCTCGCTGGCTCGCTCTCTGCTTCCGGCTGCCTCGAGCGGGACGCCCTCCCTGTCCCGGGATGTCTCTGCCTCACCACAGGTAAAACCTTCCCGCGTGTTGCCTCTGCGTCCGTTTCCATTTTACTTTGCTTTGGTTGCTCTGAGATGGTTCCAGGCGGACCTCGGCTTGTGATCCTCCTACCTCAGCCTCCACAGTGCTGGGATTCCGGGGTGCCTGGCCTGGGTCCTGTGTCTGGCCACCTCCACTTCTGCTGCTGATGCGGCAGCTGGCTCACTTAAGGCGTCTCCGCCAGGGGAAAGGAGGGGCAGGGTGTGGCTGCGCTCTCCTGAGACTTGGTCTTCAGGATAAAGCCGAAGGAGAGCCTCACCCTGGCCTTGCGTGTGGAACCGGCTGGGAGCTTGGGGTACGGAGGCCCCCACGGCTCACTGTGGCCCTGTCCGGAAGTCCCTGGATGTGGGCACAGTGGAGCAGTCCGCTCCACTGAACGAGATGTCCTCGGTGTCCTGTTTGTGAGTGCAGGGAGGGAGCTTAGCAGGCCCCAGAGCCAGGGCCCCCGTTCGGGGCTAAGGAAGCAGGTCCGGCGTGGGGACGAGGCCTGGCCAAGGTCCCCAGCAGCAGGTGTCAGGACAGCACCCTCTCTCCTACCACCCCTCCTCTGAGCAGCTCCTGTTCTGGAGCTGCACGGTGGCCCTGAAATCAGAACTCACCCGAGAGCAACAGCCGTGAGCAGCTTGGGTCGGGTACCTCTCGCAATCACCCCTTCACAGCAAGGGACCGGCTCTCCGGATTTGGAGCTAACCCGGAGCTCAGTCCCTTCTCAGGGCACTGCTGTGTGACTGCCTCATCGGGGTGGCAACAAAAGGGTTGCTGATTGCTGAGCAGAGTTCTATTTTCTCCTACCAAACAGGAAGTTCAAAATCTGTGAGTTATTTTGAGAGAGGGTGGAAAAATAGGCACGAACCAGCTCCCACCGGCCCGGTCCAAGGCATGCACTGCTCTGGTCACGGCCGTGGCCTGCTGCAGGGGACAGAGGCCAGGTGACGTTTCATCAGGGAGAGTTCACAGCGTGGCGTGGGGATGATGACAGCCACACATTCATGTGGTGCACGGAACGTGCGCTCGGCTGTGACTGGATGGGGACAGTGACACTTGTCCTTCTACATGGCTGTGGGCTGGGGGTTTGCACTGAGCCCTGCCACTGGTGAGTATAGATCCGCTGGGCCATGTATGGGGCCTTGGACCTCAGAGGGTCACCGTGGGAGCCTCGTGTGACAGGGTCAACGTGGCTGTGTCCTGTTCCTGAGTCAGCAGGAACCTGGAAGACTCTGCAACCCTAATACTTGGAACCTTGTATTTCTAGGAAAGCCGATGGGTTTGGATTCCACTGACTTAAAACCTTTCTTCATTACTGATGGTGGAAGGCTCCAGGTGGGGGAGTTTCTCAATGGTCCTTGCAATAAGCAGCAAAACCCGAGAAATGGCTATTGTGGAACATTCTAGAAACAAGCCTTTCTTTCCTGGCGTGAACAGGGTCCCCTCCCCTCTCCTTACGGATATGCCTGTTCCCTGCCGCTGGTGGGCACCCGTGCTGAGTCCCCAGAGCACCCTGGCACAAGCTGCAGCTGCCTAAACCCAAATTTCCAGAAGGAAACAGGGTCCTGGGATTCATCCGTCCGTGAGGCTGCTGTGCTCCTGACCAGATCGTGTCCCCAAACCAGGCGAAGAGCCCATCCCATGTTCCCCTGCTTGCTAGAGTTGGGGATGGGAAGGTTTTTGGGTCAAGCTAGGTCCAGGCCTACAACACAGGAGTGGCCCCTGGGGCAGGGCGGTGGGAGAAGGTGCAGGGGCCATCGGAAGGCGAAGTGACACCTCAGTGTCTCCTCAGTGACCCAACGTGGCAAACTTCAGGCTGCAAGGCCAGGAGGGCTGAGCGCCTAATGCTGAAGACAGAGGCCCTGGGGCTGCCGCAGGACTGAGTCTTCCGGAGCTCGGAGTGAGGCGGAGGCAGCGCTCTCAAAAGCAGCAGATTTGGCCAGGGGCGGAGATCCCACAGTAGACAGCCAGCCAGGACCAAGGGTCCTCCTTCTAGCCCTGCCCTGGGGCGAGCTGGGCTTCCTTCTGGGCCCCTGCTCAAGGATGTTAAGATGTGGCATGAGCGGGCTGATTATGGGGGGGGGGAAGCGAAGGGCCTTTGTTCAGGCAGCCAAAGTCCTTGGGGGGGCCCCCACTGTGAATGGAAGGCATGTGGGGGGCTTGTGCCAGGCACGCTTCCCAGAGGCCCTGTCCAGGCTCGGCAGGTTGAGGACCCTGGACAAGCTGCCTGCCAGGCCAGCGGTTGGCCGATGCCACAGCGCGGGCATTGCTGCACAGAGGGTGATGGCAGTCAAAGGTGATGGCCCTTCTGCTCGCATGGGCCCTGGCGCTCGGCGACTTCTTAGAGCAGCAGCAGAATGGGAGTGTGGGAAGCCAGAGCGGCCATCCCAGGCAGGGTGTGAGGTCAGCTCTCTACCTGGCTCCCGGCTCAGCTCTGGAGACCCCAGGCCCGTCCTGTGGTTAGCCAGGAGCCTCTTCTCTGCAGGGGCCTGTCCAGGCCAGAGCAGAACCCCTGGGCACTTGGTTTGGCCTTAGGGACAGCTGGGTGTTTTCTGCTCATACCCTAACTGCACCCTGGAACGCGGCCACCACCCAGGAGCATCCGCTCTCCTGGGGACACGCACATTGAGATTGTTCTCACTGCCACCCTCCAAAGTGCCAGCAGGGTGCGCGGTGCCCGCCAGCACCAGGAGCACCTCTTCTGACCGGTGTCCTCCTGTCCCCCGCCTCCCTGCTGCCCACTTCCTGAGCTGAGAGGGAGGCTCAGCTGGAGCCAGGAGGCAGGGGTTCACTCACACCACAGAGAGGACGCACAGCATGGGAAAATCACTTCTTTAATGACCGAGAAAGCACACCAAACCGCGACAGAGGCCCCAGTGGGAGTCGCCCAGGTACAAACCAAAACCCAGAGGCCCCAGCGCACACCAGACATTCACAGAGTCGGCCGGCGGTGGGGACAGCCACAGCTGAGGTGTCCTCTCCTCGGGCAAGACAGCGTCCTCCTTCCTTGGGGGACCGTGGGGCCGGAGAAGTGAGTGGACGACCACAGGGAAACGAAGCCCATGGCGGCGTCACAGAGGAGCCAGTGCCGGGAACAGGTGGCTGCCACGGCCATGGTCACTCATGGAGCAGGACTTGACGGAGGGCGCAGAGGACAGGCGGACAGGTGGACAGCAGCTCCTCAGAACCCAGAGTCCGGCTCAGCTCCCCACGGGCATGCTAGGAGTGGGTTTGCCACCCACACTGTGCCACCCCAAAGGGCCAGTCATTCTCTAGACTTAAACTGTATGCGTCTAGGCTTCAAGTGAACAAGAGGAAAGGCCGCAACTCAGAAGTGACTGGGATTCGGTGGCACTTCACGATCTCTTTAGCTTATATATAATATATAGGTATATAATATATGACGGGCACACGTGTCCCTGTCAGTGTGGACTTCCGTTAGAGAGGACCTAACTGTACACTACCAGAATACACAAAGTACCTCTATCATACATGGCTCCTCTTGAAAAATAGTCTAACATCCTGATACTCTCTGGCTAATAACAAACTATTAACATCTTCTGTGATACAGCAAAAACTCTGAGCTAAGAGTAACACTCAGGCGTGCTCCCCCTCCCCCCAACATCATCTAGGAACGCGTTTCTGACAAGCATCCCGGGTTCATTCGTGATTAGAGAAGAGACGGTTATGCTACTGTCACCAGGTGGACTTCCAGGCAAGCACAGATGGGACTTTTTTACCTTGGCAAAAAAATGAAGCGCAAACGTAACGTCCTACAGGTTCTGGCTCATGCGGATGCGTGTTCTGTTATGTGGGGTGTCCTATCCTCACCCCGAAACCACAATTAGCATGCAGTTGGTTCCCAGCTACGGGACTAGAGAGAGTTTGGCAGTGCACCCCTTCTGTGTAACGGTGGTCACTAAGGCATGGTTCGCTCGCCTCGTCCAGGCTGTCAGCGAGCACTTGCTGACCGCATGTTTACACAGCGTGGACCTGCGGCTGACTGATTAGAAAAGAAGAGGAGAACCTCGAAACACAGATCCCGAGACGCGGTCCAGCTGGAAATGAACGGTGAAGCTTTTAGAAATATATTTTAAACTACAAGACTGCCCTGTTGTTGTTATAGTATGAACAAGTTTAAAAAGTTCCCACCCCTAAAAATTGGCCAAATAATTTCCTCATTATGCCTAACAGCCTCACCCAAGAGCTACCAGGTTTGACCTCTGCTCAGGGCAGCCACGGAGGTCGCAGGCATGCGACACACTGCTTCCGGATTGGCGCAGCCGTTTAACCAGGAGCTGGAACAGCCTCCTGGCCTCAATCCATCTGGGGACAGCGGCCCCAGGGCTGCAGTTGGCTTGGAGGCCCCGTGTGGACTGGAGGTACCGAACGCGCTGCACCCCGCTCTGTGCCCCGAGTTTCAACAGGAGCGTGTGGGAGCCGAGCCCACTGATTCAAGGGCAGCTGAGGCAGTGCAGGCCGCTCTGTGGCCGAGCCGCAGAGGCCAGGTGGGATCGTGTGTGTCGGGGAAGCCAGTGCGGTGGGACAGCTGGGCTCCGGGCCACCTGCGCACCCTGGACGCTCACACCACGGAGCCCTTGGAGGACGACAGGTGGATGGACTGAATCCTGATGGCCAACGTCCTCTGTAAGTCCTGGAGCACATCCTGGCCCGCTCCCTCGCCGTTTTTGTCGTACAGGAGCTGCTTGAACGCCTCGTTTTCAATGAGGACCATCATGTTTTTGAGGAAGTAGCCTTCGCAGTAGGCGGAGAGCTCCGTGACTCCGAGGAACTGTGGAGAGGGAGTGGAAGCGGTGTTGACACCCAGGAAAGGTGGCTGCCTGCCCTGGCCCCAGCTGCAGAAAGGGCCGGACCGGCCAGCCTCCGCGGCACAGACGTCGAAGCCTCCATTTACAGGAGGGGAAACTGAGGCCAAGAGCTGCCTAGCTTAGATCTGGTGGCCACAGAGCCCCTCCCACCTTATCACAACCAGCACAGCCTCTGTGAGGGACCGTCATTCAGCAGGGGAATGAGCCTGGTAAACGCATTGGAGATATTTCCTGAATGGCTGTGATGGCCTTTCCCACCACTTGCTTCTGTCAATAAAGTTTTATTAGAACACGACCACACACTCTGTTAACGTGACACACTCGGCTGTGTCCCACCCAGAGGCAGGACTAAGCGGGTACCGGAGCAGCCGCGTGGTCTGCAGAGTGGATGTGGTCTCCACAGAAGGTGTTTGCGGGTCTTTTCTCAAATTATAATTTTTTTTTAGCAGTAGAGACCAGGCCTCACTAATTTCTATTCTGTTGAATCTGGTTCCTAGGAAATACGAGTGGTCAATAAACCCCAGAGAATGAACCCCAATGAACCCCTGGCTCCCTGGCTCAGGTTTGCACCCTGATCCACGGCTGGGCTTCCTGCATTGGCTGACGTCCGAGCAGAGGGACCAGCTCATCTGTGTTCCCAGGCGGACATGCCTGGAGGAGCACCAGAAACTCCAGGGCCTGCTGACAGCTTTGCCAGGGGAAGACGGCTCGGATGAGCACAGGTGTGCGTGTGTGTGTGCCTGTGTGTGTGTGTGTGTGTGTGTGCGTGCGTGTGCGTGTGCCTGTGTGTGTGCGTTCTCTTCTGTAAGCCCACTGTCTCATCGGCCAGCTGAAGAACAGGTGATGCTGCTGGCATTTGGTGCTCAGCCCTAAACCCTCTGATGCCTGCATTTCCTGGGTTCCAAACCAATAGTTTGTTTTCCCTTTTCTGCCCTTTTAATAAATGAACCTCAATCTGCAGCACCATCTGCCTGAAACAGGACCCGCATGGACGCTGGCACAGGGAAGCCGAGTGCAGAGCAGTGGAGGTGGCTGGCTGGCCCTGTCCCGGTGTAGGTACTGGGAGGGCAATGCCCGCTCTAGACACCGAGTGGCCCATGAGGTAGAGGCACCTGGAGAGCCACAGGGAAGGGGACTGCTTTCCCTGGCCGGGGGCCTGGCCTGTGTCCCCTCTGGGGTCCATGAGGTCAGACACCGCTGCTCAGGAGCCTGAGGGAACAGAAAGGGGCTCAGGGCCACTGTGGGTGTCAGGTTCACGAGAAAGCTGAGCAGCCATGGCCGGGAGAGCAGGGCGTGGATCACAGGGCTGCCTGGGCCGAGGAAACACTCACTGTCCATGTGCGGAGAGCCAGACTTCGCTGGAGTCGTCATCAGTGTGTGTGTGTGCGTGCGTGTGTGGTGAACCCGGAGCCTTGTGTACGCTTCACAAACACTTTTCTGCTGAGCAACACAGCAGCCTGGAAAAGTTATTATTATCATTTTTTTTTGAAGCGGGCTCTTGGTTTGCAGTTCAGGCTGGATTTGCACTCATGGCAAGACATTTGCTAGGGAGATGGGAGCATGAGGTTAAGAACGTGTTTTGGAGTGAGATGAATCCGGGCCCCAGGCTCAGGGCTGTGTTTCCGACTGTGCCCCTGTGGCTGCCACTGGACTGGGGACTGCATATGGGGAACCACTGTTCTAGAACCTTCCGTTCCAAGTGTGGCTTGGATCAGCCAGAGAGGTCGCCAGGCACCAGGTGAGACCCGGGTGCAGGGTCTGTAGGTGGAGCCCTGGCACCTGTGGGGCAGGGCTCACCTTGGCGTGGTTGTAGATGTCCACGCAGTTGTCCGTGTTGATGCTCTTGGCGCAGATAATCTCGCAGTGTCGCTGCAGGGCGTCCAGCTGGAAGAACTTGGCGGCGGACAGCAGCTGGAATCCAACAAGAGCGAGTGAGGGGCAGGTGACAGCGCGGGGTGCGGCCTGGAGAAAGCATGGTTGGGGGTCCAGGGAGGACGGGACTGGGCTGGACTGTGCTTTTCTTTTCTCCTGTCTTGAAGGCGACAGGGCACTACCATGGAGCAGGGAGGGGGCGGAGCGGGGTCACACCTGTTGAAGCAGGAGGTCACTACAGCGTCTCACAGGTGTACAGAATCGGGGTGCATGGTGTCGCTCAGCAAGTGGATGTGAGCAAGGGCCCCTCACCCACAGGTGTCACCCTAGGTCCTCACACTGGGCCTCCCTCTCCCGCTAACATGCTGATGTCGCCCACTGGGGCCCTGGGGACAGGGCTCTTTGTCCTTGGGGTCACACCACCGTGTGTGGAGGTGATAGGCTTTTGGGGAGGGAGATGCAACATGGCTAGGAAGGGGGGCGGTCTGGGGCAGCCCCTGCTGTACCCCCCAACTCCATTGTGGCTGGGGCTCAGAGGTAGTGGGGGCAGGTGCATCCCCAAGTGCCCAGGGCAGGCGCTCCTGCAGGGTCTGCCCTGGAGCTGCCCCAGGAAGGCACCACTCAGGGGTGGATGCATAGCTCTATCCTAATCCAGGTCATGTGAAAACAGGATTCGTTGTTTAGATTTTGGAGGAATTTCTAAAATGTGTGCACAGGAGTCCTCGTCCTCCGAAACCTGGGGCTGGCTATGCCCTCACAAAATGGTGCTCTCTGTAGCCTCCAGAAAAGCCACGGCCCAGGAGACAGAGGCTCAGAGGTCACCTGCGAAGGTCATGCGGTGGAGACGAGGAGCAGATTGCTGGGTGTCTCTGGCAACCAGGTGCTGCATCGGCAGCTCTCTGGCTGCAGCCACAAAGCTCCCAGCTTTGATTGGAAAATGGATCAGATTTGTGCTTCCAGGAAGGAGCAGGGACCCTCAGCCCTGGGCAGGAGCACAGAGACGAGGCTGGGGATGGAGCTGGACAGGACGGGGTGGCGTGGGGGCACCAGTGATGGTGAAAAGGGCAGCCTGAGATGGAGGACTGGATGGGTTTTGGCGGTAAAACAGTTCTCACAAATGACCAGGAGATTTGGTCTAGATCATTTTCCATGCAGCTGTGCCACCCCCAACTTCTCAGGGAGCCCTTGCACTCCCAAAGGCACTAAGATGAGGTCTCCCCAAGGGACATGGAGAAGCCTCTCCTGTCCAGGGGAACAGTGGTGGTGCGGGATGACCCCAGATGCTGTCTCTAAACTACCTTGACCAGGTTACAGCTCCACCATGGGGTCGGGACAGGCCCACCCCCTCACCTCCATGATCTCGTTGTTCTTGATGAGCAGGGACTCGGGGCCTCCATAGTAGAGGTACTGCATGACCAGCTGCAAGAGAGGAGGCATGGTGAGCCTGGCTGTCCACTGCCCACCCCACAGCCCTACCCTGCAATGGCCCAGTGTGAACCTTGAGTCCTCCAGGGGCACGGCTCTCAAGCAGAAAGAGAAGCTCACTGATGTCTGGGGCCTGGCTGTCACTGCGACAGTCAAGTGTTCATTTTCCTGGTGCACGTTTTCCCACTGTCCTGGTCCCTTCTCCTGTCCACCTGCTTTGCCTGCCTGGCTCTGTGGTGGCCTGGCTGACTGTGCTGGGCCCAGGGCTGGGGACAGTGCAGAGTGCACAGGCCGGCTGCCCTCCAGGCCCACAGGCTGGCGGTGATCGGCATGGGACGGTGGCTGAGAGCACGAGCTGGAGGGGACCTGGGTGCCAGTTCCATGCTGGATGACTGGGATTTGGGCCCTGAGAGCTCAGGGCACCGTCTGTAAACCGGGGACTATGCTCCCTCCTCTGAGGGACAGCAGGACTTGGTGGGGGCCTTGGGACAACCCAGTCCTTTCTCCAGGACCCTGGCCACATGCTGTCCTGCCTGCTGGCCCCCTGCATGAGTTCACCATTTAAAGCAATGGCTGTTTGCATTGTGTGTGAGTTGACTGAGATCAAACACAAACGGCTTCCTGGCCTCAGCTCAATGTGGCACTGCCCCCACCACTGTGGGGTGGTGGGAGAAACCAGCAAGTGTGCACCTCCACGTCCTGGGTTGGCCTCGAGCCCACCTGGCCCTGGCCCCGAGTGACCAGACTCAAGCCATGCAGCATGGGTGTGGCCACATCCAGCATCTGAGCGTGGAGTCTCCAGGCCTCCCCCTGTGCCTCTGTGGCACAGCCCTGTGTCCTCTGTGGCTGACCGAGGTACACTTGAGGATGGGCCACGTCCAAGGTGCCCCTGCCCGCCCACAGTGCCTGGGAGACTCCTGCTTCTTGGCTGTCCTGAATGTTGCTGCTGCAAATGTTTTGTGCATCTGTTTCCGATGCCCCCTGCTGCTCTCCCCTCTGTCCTCCTCCCCGGCCTGCATCGGCCTTTCTCGCCCTGACTGCATGCTCCAGGCCTGCGTCTGCCAGGCACCTCCTCTGCATGGGCGCTGACCTTGCCGCACGGAGACAAATTTCAGCTGTTGCAGCCTGGGAAGCCTTCGGCCTCCAGTCCTGCCCTGTGCCGGCAGCGCCTGGGCCGTGACCACGGGGTCCTCTCACCAGGCGTCGTGGGCACAGTGTTCAGCGTCCTCCACACAGCAGGCGGCGTCGTGCCCTGCATGGCCTTGGCAGCTGCACGGCAACTCCTGTCGTGGGAAGCGGGGTCCCTGGCTGGTGGGTGTTGAAGGCCACCCCTGACTGCCACTGAGGCTGCTCCCAGGAGGGAAGGAGCTGTGCCCGGGTTCCCTGGAGGTGGCGGGGCCTCCATTATAACTTCTCTGCCTCTGCAGCCACCAGTGAAGCTTCTGCTTTCCTGGCAGGGTGGCCTGTGCCAGGGTGGGCATGTCTTCCTTCCGTCAGGTACCAGCGGCCCGGCAGCCCCGGGAGCAGTTAGAGGCTGCGGCCCCCAGCCTGGGTCTCACTCATCTCCCAAGAGTGCTCGGTCCCCAGCTGCTACACAAACTCTCAGGGGCGGCAGAGCTGCTCCTGCAGGGCTGGCACCTCAGGGAGGACCTGAGGCTCCAAGAGGGAGGCGGGGCAGGGCTGTGGAGCTGGCCTGGAGCCCCGATTTGCCACGGCTGGCTCAGGGCCCCGGCTCTGTCTTGTGTTTCTCTGCATCCTCCTCATCTTCGTCTTCCTCTTCTCTTCTTCTTTTTTTTGCAGCATCCCAGGGCCACGTGCCGTCAGAAAGTGTTCTATACTGAGTGGCATCCCCAGGCCTTTATTGTCCTTTGAGATAGAGTTGCTAATTGCCTAAGCTGGCCTTGAACTTGTGATCCTCCTGCCTCAGACTCCCAGGTAGACAGATCACAGGTGCATGAGTTATTCACCTGCAGCATCAAACTGGGGCGGGTCCCATGCCTGCATCTCAGGAGCCTCCTGCTTGTGCCCAGGGCACAGGGAGGGAGACACCTTAGACCCTGCCCAACGGGCTGCCCCTGAGAGCACAGCAGAGCAGCCCCATCCTGACTGGTGGGTCTGATGGGCGACTCTGCAGGCAGCTGGCTGGGCACTGGCCCTGGTGGACGCAGGGGTGTTCTGATCTTGTCCCCGGTGATGTCCTAAGCTTTGCCACTGGGCAGCTGCTCTGTCCCCAGGCCACGCTGTGCTGTCAGCAGGCAGGGTGGCCAGGGTGGGATGGGGTGCGACAGCCCCAGCCTGCATTGGGGTGCAGCCTCGCCCTGCTGTCCTGTGCCCTCCACCTGCCTTGCGGCACCATGGAGACCACTGTCCTCCTCGGCCAGCTGTGCTCGAGGGGCCGTATGGCAGGGGGTCCTGATACTCTTGCTGGCCTGACACTTCCTGGCTGTGCTCGATCCCCTGGGGAACCTGAGCGATTAGCAGGTCACGGATGAGGTGTGGGGTGTCAGCGCCTTCCTTATGGGCAGAGGATTCTTTTTTCTTTGCTTCCTTTTTTTTTTTTGAGACAAGCCTTTCACTGAGGCCCTGGGTTCCAGCTTGCGATCCTCCTGCCTCGGCCTCCCAGAGGGCTGGGCTTACAGGCATGCACCACCCTAGCTAGCGGGGATTCTTTATTTTAAGCCGCAGCCAAAGGAGTGCATCTCTCATGAGGAAACCCAGACCCTGCAGCAGGCTTCAAGGCTAGGGCGAGGGCCCAGTGCCTCCCCGGTGGCCCACGGACAGCAGGGCCTGAGGGGCTGGGTCAGTGGGGAAAGCAAGAGCCACGTCTTCAGCCTGCCTTGTCTCACCGGGCTGGCCTGGCCGTGAGGGTCTGAGACAGCCAGAGACCCGGCCAAGGGCTGGTCACTGCATCTCCTCATCTGCCTTGGCTGGCAATGTCCCCTCCCCGGGATATCTTGCTTTCTCAAGCCCTCTGCCGTTCTTTGGCCCCAAATTCTTGAACTCTGAACCCAGTGCCTCCTTCAGGGAGCCCTCCCAGATGACTCCACCACAGTGCTAGCCGTCCCGCTCTGTGGACTAGACACCCTTAGGACACTCACAGCCACCCTGCCTACGCTGCTAGTGTCCAGGAGAGGGCGCCGTTACCCTGTGTCCCCAGACCCAGGCTCAGCGGGCACACAACCCCCGCCGGACTTCTCAGAGTGGTCACCCGGGGCCTGCCCGCCCAGGGCTCACCTGGAAGATGGGGTACTTCACGTAGCCGATCTCTATACAGGTGCCATCGTTGGCCGGCTTGCTGGACAGGAGGGCCTTGAACCTGTATGTGACGCACAGGGAAGTCAGAGACTCCTCCGCCTACCCGCCATGGCCCAGATCCCCGCTCTGTGACTTGCAGTGGCAGCCCCTGGTTTCTGCCTGTTCGTTGTTGTGGTCCTGGGACTGGACCAGGGCATCTCCGTGGCCACATCCCAAGCCTTAAATTTTTTTTTTTTCTGATTTTGAAACAGGGTTTAAATTGCCCAGAGTGGCCTCGAACTCAAGATCTTCCTGCCTCAGCCTCCTGAGCAGCTGGGATTACAGGTTCACACCGAAGCACCCAGCTCACAGATTTCTCAGTTTAAACCTCTGTGACAGCATCACCTCACTGAAAGTCAAAACTCAAAAGCTAAAACTGCTTTGAATAACATTGCACAGATCCTCAGTGGCAAAGGATGGTGGCTTTAAATCCTACCACCAATGGATGCCCGGTGCAGGGGCTGCCACCCAAGCGGGCCCCTTTCTGAGCTCAGGTCCTGGCTTCCCTCTGGTCCTCCATGAAGCCCAGTGTCTGTGGTTCTGTCTTGGCAGCAGCCTGGAGCCATCCTAGGGACTCCTCACCCAAGAGACTGAGGCCCATTTCCCACCAGCCCCCAACTCCCGCGCCCAAGGGCAGAGACCCCACTCGAGGGAGCCGGTGGCCCTGCCAGCACAGGGGCAGCTCAGGCCAAAGCTGAGGCAGCGGGGCTCTGAGTCCTGAGGGCCAGGAGCTCTGAGAGAGGCCGGGTCTAACGCCCTCCTGCCCGGTGCTTTGGTGCTCTTCTGTGATCCTTACCAAGAACTATGTGGGGACAGCAGGTTTTTCTCCCAGAAACAAAGACTTCCGGGGTTTGCATTTGCTTTGGGGTCCTGGGGAGGCCAGGTGCTTCTGGGAGCCAGGGATACCAGGCACGTGGCCCCAGCAGCCTTCCTGGAAGCCCCAGGCAGGGTGGCTGCCCACTGTCCACTGCTCCAGGGCAGCAGGAAGAGTGATTTCTCCTTCACCATACCTGACACTAGCATCTGTGACCCCCCTGGGAGGAGGAAGGCAGGGCAGGGGTCTCTGGAGCTCATGCCGGGCTCTCTCCTGATACCCAGCGAGCGAGCCTCTCTAGGCTGCCACGGAAGGGCCTCAGGTTGCCCACTGCTTGAGGGAAGGGGCCAGGCCGAGGGAGCCCACATCCAATCGACACGCTGCTCACAGAGCTCCTCTCCAGGCGCGGGGCTCTGTCTGCCCGGGAGCAGGGATGCCTTGCTCCGGGTTGCACAGGGGTTTCCGGTTTTTGAGGGTACTCTGCCAGCCCAGTGAGGGACACTGCAGATATGGAGCCTGGTGACGTGGCATGCAGCTGGGACAGCGAGCACGCACCTTGGGGAGGCTGTGAACAGCAGCACTTTGTGCGCGTAGAACGGCCTCCCTTCCACGAGGAAGGTGACGTCAGACATCTCCTTGTTATTGAGGAAGTGGGGGTCTAGAGGAAGGGCAGAGAGGGCGGCGTTAGTGATGGGGCGAGCCTGGCGACAGGACCGTCAGCGTCCTGCACATAGAGGGAGGTGCCCACCAGCTTGGCCCCTGCCACACATGACTCCCACGGCCCGAGGTGTCTTCCGGAGTTAACAGGGCACCCCCATCCCGCTACCGTCCAGGATTCTGCACCTGGACTGTGCGTTCCCTTGCCTGTGGACGCAGCTGGGAAGAGATGCTTGGTCACTGCATCGTATGTTCCTCTCTCCTGGGGTCACAGACCTGCAGAGGCCACGTGACCCCATGGTGCAGTGGGGTAAACTCAGGCTACAAAGGTGATTTTGGTGTGACCTGCTTTGTCATACACAAGGTTCTTCCTGCTCACCTGCCACTGCAACCAGCTGGGTCTGAGTGTCCCCAGCAGTATCTGTGGCTCCTGAATCTGTCCCCAACCAGCAGGAGCAGGGGCCATCAGCCCCGGGAGCCTTGGTGCTGCTCCCATCAGAGTGCCCCTCAGGGCTGGCTCTCTAGGGCCTTCTCCTCGTGGTGTCTACACTGAGGTTTGGGGGTTTTTTAGGTTGGGGATTGAACTCCCTATCACTGAGCTCACTTTAGGTCTTGCTAAGTTGCCCAGGCTGGCCTCCAGCTTGTGATTCTCCTGCCTCAGCCTCCAAGTAGCTGGGGTGGCTGCATGTACCAGTGTACGGCTGCTGCCAAGCTTTGGAGTCAGGGGAGGCGCCTGGGAGGGGCTCTCATCCCTGCCACCCACGCCACTGACCAAGGGGCCCCAGGGCAGCGTCCTCTCCCAGGTCACCATGCCCCAGCCCTGTCCCTGACCTCCCTGCCCCCATCTGTTCCTGTGCCACGCACTGACCGTGCTCTCTCAGCTCTGGGGCACCCCGGGCTTCTTGGGGGCTACTGCTCCCCTCCGTCCTCACCCAGGTCCCTCCTGGCAAACTGTCCCCGTGTGACGCTAGAGAGACTCTGTGCCACCTCCAGGCCCTGCGTTGCTGCTTCTCTGGCTGACGCTCTCCCCCGGTCTGGCCAGGCCTGCATGGGCACACAGATGTGCGTGTCCCGCGCTTGACCAAGGCCACTCGGTGTCCCTACGGTCCCTGGGGCGTCACCTCTCTGCACTGCCTGTGCCCCTCCTCTGTCCAGCACAGAGGTGGGGGAGATGCCGAGAGTGCGGGCTCTGCTGTGTGACCCTGGCCACATTAGTTGGCAGCTCTGAGCCTCAGTTTCCCTTCTGTAAAACGGCAGTGGAATAATCAGGGTCCACCTCCATGGCAGGATTAAGCAGGTTGATTACATAAGTGCTTAGCAACCTGCCCCCAGGTGCCTCCGGGCACTGCCGAGTCGTCCGCGCTCAGGTAATATTCTCTGGGTAAACGGAGGTGTCGACCCAGCTTCAAGACAGCACCCACCCTTAATCAGAGTCCTGCCCCATAATGCCCCCTCTGCTGGACCTGGAAGCCTGCCTTTCCTACGTCTATGACAAAGCCACCAACCGGTGAGGCCACTCACCCAAGCGCGAGGTCTGCTTTCTCTTGATCTCCGCCAGCTTGGGGATGGGGTAGGGCCCATAGCAGTGCGTGAAGATGACACACAGTTGCTGGCCGATCACCTCGTTCTGTGGGGAGAAGCCAGGGCTGAGGTCATCCAGGCAGAGGTCACATTTCCCCGCAGGCCCCTGAGGGCCGCAGCACTCAGAAAGTATCAGTAATATCCGGTTCTGGAAGTAGCTGATTAGCCTGTCCTGTGACTGCACCCGCCACAAAGACACAAATGCTCCTGACTCAGCTCTCCCGTGAGCTGGATTTCTGGATCCAGGGCTAATCAGTTGAATCACACTCCCCAAAAATAAAAAAGCTGGGGACACTGCGGCCCCAAGTGCAGGTGCCAGGGTTGCTGGGCCCAGGGAGCCCACCCCACCACCCTGTGTCCCGGAGGATGTGGCCTGCACCGCCACGTTCCCAGGCAAAGGGCAGGAAACGTGGACTGAGGGGCCGACAGGAGGGCTGTGCGTTCCCAAGACCCCCGAGACAGGCTCGGTCTCCACTCTGCGGCACTGTGGGGTCCACTGAGTGAGCTGGGCCCAGTGCAGGTCTCGGCCTTTGGGTGGGTGTGGTTGGGACTTGGTGGTGTGCGCCTCCTTAGGCGGGGAGCCAAGCCACAGCCAACCGCGCCCCCCTTAGGCCAGCTCTCAAGGCATTTTGCCGTGGTTCTGAGATTGAGATCCTTGCTCCCTTCTCCCCGCAGGACTCCACCCAGAGACCCCAGTGGGGTCTGCATTCTGGGTCTCCAGAGAGCTGCACCTGTCTCCTGCTGGTCCCAATCCCTGCTTCTCTTAGTGGGTACCAGGTGACCCTCTTACTCCCAAGGGTGCCCTGTGTCACACAGGTGTCTCCCAGCTTCTGTGCAGACCTGGGTGCCTGGGATCCCTGACGGCCCGTGTGCTGAGCCTTGGGACGTGACAGGTGCGTGCATACCGGGCTGCACAGGTGGCCAGGCCCAGCCACCCCCTTGTGCAGAGCTGAGTGGAGCGGGGCGGCCCCTCCCACCACCCTACCTTGCTGGCTTTCAGGATCTCAAACATGAGCGGCAGGCCCTGGGTGACGAGCTCCTCCGTGTACTCCTCCTCCTGGATGGTCTTGAACTCCTTGAGCAAGCACTGGATGAGCGGCCGGCGGTGCTGCTGGAAGGCGACCCGCAGGGACTCCAGCCACGTGTGCAATGTCCAGGGCACGCCTGGGTGGGGTGGGAACAGTGTTGGCATCTGCGAATGGGGCCCTCCTGGGGCGTCACCAGGTGGTGAGACCCGAGCTGGACACACAGGGACCACAGCCAAGGCGAGCAGAAGCCGGGGCCAGAGTCAGCGCTGGACTGCAAGTGTCCACCCCCATGCACATGCGACCCTCTGCTCAGAGGGAGCAGCTCGGGAAGGGAACGTCTCATCTGTGCCGGGGTCCCCCCACCTGGGGGACCCCCAGCTGACCTCACCATCTCCCAGCCCTGCGGGTGGAACCCCGTCTGGGTGCCAGGACGCGGGACACGACCACCAGGCCTGCTGGGGGCCATGGTCTCTGCAGCTCCCCTGCCACCTGCTCTAGTGACAGCTTCTGCCCATCACGGGGACACTGAGGGAACTCATCTCACCACTGCTGACAAGGAAACACGTGGACAGCCACCCAGGCCGTGCTAGCTGGGCTCTGCCGCTGCTTTGCCCGGCTAAAGCCACTGGGCTCCCGGCTGGCCTGCTGTAGGCTCCCTCGGCCAAGCTCCTCCATCACCAGGAGCTCCGGGTGATTGTTAAACATAAAGATTTCTGGCCTTTCTGTCCAGACCGCGTCAGCCGCTCCCAGGGAGGGCATTTAGAGCCAGCATCCCAGGGTGGGGAGGCGGCAGGGGCTGCTGTGTGGGACCGGGGGGCCGCATTCCTACCCCAGCCAGCGAGGGCCTTCTGGGTTATGTGTGAGTGTGTGTGTGCATGTGACAGAGACTGGCAGAGACGGAGATGCAGGGAGAGACGGAGACAGAGAGAGGCGGAGGCTGCTCTGCCTAGCAGGGTCCCCACACCGACCTATGCTTCTGATGTCAATGGTGACATCCACGTAGCCGTGCTCGGCGCTGTGGTACATGGCCTCCCTCAGGGCCCTCAGCTTGGCCTTGCTGTTGCGGCTGGCACACAGGGCGGGCGGGGCAGTGTCTGCCAGGTCAGTGCCCTCGGCCAGAATCTCCTCCAGGGACAGGATGTCGCTCTTCTCCTTCTCTGGCTGAGCCAGCAGTTTGCGGAACACATTCCTGTCAATCACAAACCCAACAGGAAGACGCTCAGAGAGGCAGGTGGCTGGCAGGGCAGGGCCATGGTGGGGCACCGGGGATGACAGGCCAGCTCTGGGGTGCCAGCTTCAGGGCCTGACCCTGCACGACACATTTTGGGGATGGATGAGGTGGGTTATGACTGACTTTGTTGGCTGAGGGGAGCTTGGGGCTTGGTCGCTTCCAGAAGATTCTAGAGCTTTCTGCCCTTTAGCTTGACTCTGCTTTCCCTGGGGAGATGTGAATGAAATGTGATGGGAATGAGTCCCAAAGCAAACCCGGAAGGGAAACGGGGGGCGTGAGGTGCTTGGGTGTCCTCTGTGTGGAGTCCCTTCGCTTCCCACGGCTGGCACAAGTGACACCACGCTCACATGGCTGCATGTGGCTGGGAGCGAGTGAAACAAGCCGGAGTCTACATGGACGCGTGCTGCCCGTGGGGTGGCCTCGCAGGCCGTGGGCAGAGTCCAGGGGAGAGGACGGTCTGGCAGGCCTGGGAATCTGCATCTTTAACAAGCCCCACGTGGCCATCCTAGCCTACCTGTGTCCGTGGGCTGCAGCCTGGCTGAACGAGTTCATGTCCCCCTGCGGGGTGGTAGAAATCCCATTCCTGTACATGGTTCCTATCAGGGGGTCTGCACCACGCTCCAGCAGCAAGCTAACCAGCTCAAAGTTTCCTGAAAGCCCAAGAGGGTGGCATGTGAGGGGTCGAAGCAGCACAGCGTGGCAGGCACATGCAGGAGCACAGGCAGGGACAGCGGCTTACCCACGGCGGCCGCCAGCTGCAGGGGCGTCTCAGAGTAGTTTTCTTCACCGTGCTCCACCGAGCCCTCCACCTTGGCCCCGGCGTCCAGGAGCAGCTGGGGGGAAGAGGAGCCATTGAGACGCGTCAGGACCACGTGGTGAGGAGCTGACACCGTCCCCCACAGGCCGTGACCATGTACACAGGGCTGGAGGACAGGCGGGGGCCACCTGTGCCCGCTGGAGCCCTAGATGACCACGTGTGGTCCACACAGTGGAACAGTGTGTCGGGAAGCTGCTGTCCCCCTGCCCGAGCTCCTGCACCACACCCACAGCTCAGGAAGAGCTCGGCAGGGTCTGCACGTGCACAGAAGCTTCGAGACACCTGAGCTGGGAGGCCCGGATGCCAGAATGCCAGGCACTCCCTCTCCTGGTCAGGGTGATGCAGGGGCCTCTTGCAGCCACCAACGCTGGAGTTCCAAAGGCCTCTGGTGACACCCATGGCTGCCCAGGCAGAGCCCCTTCCGGGTCCCTGAGTGCTCCACCAAGAGTGAAGGAATTTTGCCTCCCAGGATCTTGTTCAGTGCAACAGTCGGTACCCAAGCCTCTTAAAGGCAGCAGACGCTGTCCACACCACCTCCCTTCAGCGTGTGCCTGAGTGACGCCCGGGGCACAGCCAGGCAGCCCTTCTGGGTCCTCCGTGATGGCGGCACCGCGCTGGGAGGTGGCCTGGCTTTCAAATCCCCGTTCCCATTCCCAATGCAGCAGAGGTGCCCCCAGCTGCTAGGCATTTGTGGCATCTCTGTCCCCACATTACCACATATCACTTCCTTCTTAAGATCCATCTCCTGGGAGGGGACTGGGAGTGACATTCTACTGCTGGGAGCCACTTGCCTCCAGGCTGACCTGCCACAGCCTCCTGGAACCTCACTCTGGACCTGTCCACAAGATCCCCGTTACCCAGGTAACAGCTAGGAGCCTTCGAGGTTCCAACCCCACTGGGCTGTCCCCGCACGCAGCTGCAGCTCTGCAAAGAATCCCGAGGCCTGCAAACAGCTGCCCCAAAGCTCAGCACTCCTGAGGGGGCCAGGCGCGCTGCCCCACTTCCTGGTCCTGCTGTTCCCATGACCCAGAGACCAGCCACAGTCCCAGATTCACAGAGAGCCACTCCCTGGACGTCAGCCAGCAAAGTGCGAGGAGGAGACACAGTGTGCCCCAGGGACCTCGGATGTGAGCTCGTCACCTCACTGGAGCACGCGTGAGGCCTGGCCCCAGTGCTCCTGGATGTGAGCCTCAAGAAGCAGGACCCAAACCAGCACTGTCTGGAAACAACCCCTTGCCCCCTGGGTGTTCCTCCCCACACCCGGAAACCCTTCAATGTCATGAGACACCGATTCGACCTCAGAGCGGCTCTAGGCAACCAACGCAAGCAAGTCCCCAAAGTCCAAGCCGAGGCCCCACCCCAGGGCGACTGGGGAGTGTCTCGGGGTGCCCTCTGCCAGGGGCCGCGATGATTTCATATTGGTTAAAACTGGGCCAAACAGATCATTACGTAGGCTACTTTAACCCACAATGTGGGCATGAATTTCCTCCATTTCACTGCAGTTAACCAATATGAATGTCTCAGGGAGGATGCATGCTGGGAGATGTTTCGATTTGCACCCAGAGATGAAACGAGAGGTTGGTGTGGAGGGAAGTGCGTTACTACCTGAACTACAGGAATATGTCCGTGCACCACGGCAAAAGTCAGAGCCGTCCAGTGGCGGGTCTCAGGGTGGACGGACGGGTATTTATGAGGAGCACTGACAACCTACAAACAAATGAGGTTATTTTCAAAACATGACCTTCGCAATACTTGGCTAGCAAATCCGACTGCTCTGTGGCTGCGCACGCGGGCCAGAGACGGACAGTGAAGGGCTCCCAGGCAGTGCTGGGAACTGGGGGCTTCCCCTGAGGACACCCCAAGGTCCGGTCACCAGAGCTGGCCTTAGTCCTGTCTGCGTGTGTAAGAACAGAGCTGGAAGCCACCTCCCAAGGTCGGCAGTGGAGGCTTGTTTTAGAGATGCTGCCTGGGTGAGAAATGTGCCCGTGACCCTCATCCTCTGTGCCCCTCAGGGATGGCCATGGATCATGCCCTGGGATGAGCAACAACCTGTGACAGGCCACAGTGAGCCCTGCTCGGCCTCTCCCCTTCCCCTCCTGCTGCAGGGCACGCAATGGCGCTGAGCGTCACTACCAAGCCGTCCTCACTGTGCGAGACAGCTCTCGGGGACAGCAGCCCCAGGTAAGGGGCGCCCCTCTGAGCTCTCACTCTGGGCCACCCCATTAGACCTGGGAAGGGGGTGTCGCTGCTGCACGCAGCCCTCTCAGCCTGTCCCTGTCCCTTTGCTGGCTTCCTGGTGGTCGAGGTCCCTCATGGTTCTAGGAGCGTGGGACACATTAGGGCTGAGCCACCTGGCACTGGGCCCTCAGCCAGGGGCAGGAGGGGCCGGCGGGACGCAGTGTGGGGTCCCACACACTCGCAGACACTCATGCTCTGCTTCTGGCTGCTCCTGAGCCGTGTGGCCTGGAACCCTGCAGCAGAGCCCGCTAGGCCATGGATGGGCTGAGGGGCAGCTCCGGAGAACCTCTCCTGGACCCACGCACGAGCCCCAGTGCAGGGAGGAAAGTCCCCAAAGGGGTGCAGATCTAAGTCTCGGGCTTCTGTGTGCTTTCCTAGATGAAAATAACACTCACTAATTTAAAAAAAAAAAAAAGCAGCACAGTACAGAGACTGCAGGGGCACCTGATTTTGGACTTAAAAGGTTTCCTGACGTCACAGGCCAAAGGCTCAGTGTGCCAGTCTCTGGGTGCCCGAGGCTGCCCCGGCCGGGAAGCGCAGGTCTTCAGAGGCAGCAGAGAACGCAGTCTTGCCAGTTCCCAGCCTCAGGGAGAGACAGGCTGACTAATCCTAGGGGAGCCTGGAGCCCGCGCTGGGCTGTCTGTCTTCCCGGCCACTGTGCCATGGTGCCATCGGGTTCCCATCTCGCAGATGGGGAAAGGTCACCCAGTCATCCACTCCAAAGCAAGTCACCCCCAGTGTGTTCAGTTCCAAAGCCTGTGGGTGGGGATGCACAGGGTTCCCTGAGGAAGCTGGGGATCAGCCTTAAGATCTACGGGCTCAGCCAGTAAGGTGAGCCTGTCCACAGCTGGTGGGGGAGCAGGGGGCTGGGTACAGGGCCTGGTGCCCTCTGCTCTGGTCAGGCAGAGAGGGCAGGCCAGCAGCTCAGGGAATTCTCTGCAGGGTCACCCGTGGGGATGGGGTTGCTCTCATTGTGACCCATGTTGGGGCAGCTCCTTGGAATCGGCCAGCTGGGGCCTTGGGATGGACGAGACCATCTTGCCAGGACCATGGCCATCAAGAGGGCGAGGAATAGCCTATCTGTCCAAGCACACTCCCACAGTGGTGGCTCCATGAGGCCAGCCCCCCTCTCCTGGCTTGCCGGGGGCCCTGTGGCCCTCTGGGCCTCACCTCCACATTCAGGTCAGCTCCGGCGTCCAGCAGCATCTGAACCATTGCCTCGTCCCCACGGACGCAGGCGTACATCAGGGGGGTCATGCCCTGCGATGAGTTAAACCAGAGAATGGACAGCATTTACAAGGTGGTGGTGGCCAGTCAACAAACACAAAGCGAATGACCTAGGGTGTGTCGGGGGCTGCTCATATGCTCGAGATCCAGTGTGGCTCCGGGCCACAGCCTCAGGCTCCAGAGACCCTGGTGGCTTTCGTCTATTTCAGGGAAGAAGGGTCTCCGGCTGTTTGTGAAATCAAAGTTGCTGATTTCGACCCAGGGCTCTCGGGGATTTTGTGGGTTCTGCAGTATCAGCCCTAGGCCATCTGATGAGCACGGTTTTTTTGACAATTTCTCTTTCACAGTGTAACAAGCCTCCTCCAGCTCTGCAGAAGCTACCGGTCAGCCTCAGGGTCACTGGACGCCTCTGAGCCTGTGACGTCCCCATCTCTGACATCCGGCTTGACAGGGTCATTTACAAGCAGGAGGTGAGAGGACTGGCTTTGGGGAGCAGCTCATCCTAAATGCCCCCCCACCCCGCCAACAGAAGGGAGGGGTGGCGCCCCAGTCAGCAGCGCCGAGAGGGCACTATTTGGGAAAACAGCACGCACCGAAATCACTGCAAGTTTGTTTAGAGATCCCTGGAAAACTCATAATCAATAAGTGATATCTCCCTGGCCTCTGGATCTAGTTCCATCATAGAGGTCAGGTCATGCAAGAAATCACAAAGGAAAGCGATCCTAGGTAGGGTGTGAAACTGGAAGCAGGACAAACGAAGCCCAAAGGTAAACAGTCAACGGAAACCACAGGAAGAGCTCTTCCGCGTAAAGGAGAAGAGCAGGAAAGCTCCCTGAGAAGCAGGCGGGGGACAGGACAGGCTGGAGAAGCCCGCAGGAAACCGAGCCCTGGGAAGGACCGCCCACTGCGAACCCGAGGACAGGCCGATGCACTGAAGCTTCCCTCGGGAAGTAACCAGACGCTTGAACAAACCTCGTGTGAGTTCGGTTAGCCCAGCATTATTAGCAAAAATAATCAGAGCTGAAATACCAGCAATCGCCGTAGCTCACGAATAAGCAACGTGACCATTGTACGCAGTCACTAGATGGGATTTTTAAAGAGTACTCAACACTACTGCAGACGATCTTTTGTATAAAATACCAGAAAAGATAAGGTCTAATAAATCCCAGGATTGTAAAAAAAACACAAGTGTGTGTGAGAATTGGGGCTCCCAACTCGAGAAAATTACTCATTTTAACTAATTAATCAGCCCCTCTTCCCCTCCAGGACTCACAGAGCTGCCCAGCTGCCCCTTGTCACCTCCCTCTGAGATCAGCAGTGCGGTCCTCTGCCTCTGTCCCCTCTGCTCTGGTGGGTGGACACCAGCCCCTCTCCCTGCATCAGTTTTAGGATCTGAAGCTGCCTATTTCTGAGGTGCCTCTTGGGGTCCCCAAACAGACCCATGTGTCTCCAAGTCTGGCAGACTCGGCCCGGACATGTCCCGCTTAGTGACGAGCAGACAGGTGGGGAGCTAACAATAATCACTGGAAAAGGACCCAGTGGAGGTGCCCTAAATACACACAGTGGTTATCTGCCTGGGGACATTATCTCCTTTCTGGAAAAGATCTATTTTCCTCGCTTCCAGTTCAGCTGCAATGATCACGTGCTGCTTCTATAAAGATGGACAAGAGTATTTTTGTATTTTAAAATCGAAAACCAAAATCAGCCTTAAACGAAGAAAACAAGCCCCTGGGTGGCCGGCAGAGGGCGCCCCGGGCAGTGCGGCACCGGGCAGGCTGGGTGCTGTACCTGTTCACTCATGGTGTTGATGCCGTCCGGGCCCAGCAGGGACACTGCCTGCTTCACCAGGTCCGTCCGCCCGCAGTTCAGCATCCGGAAGCCCAGGTCCTGCTTGAACTTGGCTTCGATGGCCACTGCGTCCAGCTTCCGGGAGGCGCAGAAGCAGTCATCGGCCCTGGGGAGGGAGGGACGGTCAGGGCACGTGGGAGCTTGCAGGACACCATACCCTCTGCTCGCTTTCTTGTCTCTTGCCAGGCTGCCAAGAGAGCCACTGCCCGTGGAATCCCGAGTCCCATGTCCTTTACAGCTGCTGTGGCCACCCGGGCCCTCCTCAGGCTGTGACAACCCTAGGCTGAGTACCAGGCGGTGACTGGTTGTCAGATGCTCAGTCAGGTGCTCTGCCCCCGGTGCCACATGATTCTACGCAGCCAGTGTGCTAAGGAGGACCACTGCCTCTCACCTGGCAGATCAGCCGGGAGCACGGGGCCCCGGGACCACACCGTCTGCTTTTGCTATGTCAGCTGTGTCTCGCCCCCAGGGAGCCTCTGCAGCCCCTTCACCCGTCAGCTGCCTCCTGCCAGCCTGAGGACCTTGTGTGCGGGTCTCTATCTCATCCTGCAGCCCGTGGGTGTTAAGTGCAAGCTGAACAGACATGGGCGGAGGGTTCCCTCTGCTCAGAGCAGAACAAGACCACACGCCAGTGAGAGGAGCCAGTGCAAGCGGCCAGGTACAGGAGCTGCTGGCCCACAGCGCAGAGACAGAGACCAGGAAAGCAGAGGCAGGCAACGAGGCAGCCGCACAGACACTGCTGGCAAAGGGTGGCACTGCCCTGGCCTGGGAACCTGTCCTCCAGCTACTTTCTGGGTAAGATCAGTAGGCACTGGCGCCCCTGCCCTTTGAGCCCATTGGCTGGAAGGAGAGGGTGCAAACACACAATGTTTTCAGCCCACAGAGCAAACAGGCTGTCATCTCAGCACTTGGGAGGCTGAGGCAGGAGGACAGGAAGTCGGGGTCCACCCTGGGCTACGTAGTCACTTAGCAGGAGCCTGTCTCAAAGTAAACAATAAGAAAGTCTTGGGGATGCCGCTCAGTGGCCAGGGCCTGGGCTCAGCCTCCCATACTGCAAAGAAAACCCAGGGACTGAGGGATCGCAGGTGGCCCCTCAGGGTTATGAGCAAATGCATCGTGGGAACATCAGGAGCCGGCAGCACACAGCACGACTGTCCTCATGGGAGCTGGGCCTTGGGTCAGGGGACAGGAGGTGGAGTGGGTGGGCAGAAGCACCCTGAACAGGCCTGGTAGGAGCCAGATATGCAGACAGACACGAGTGCCCCAGGGTGGCCACGGGGGTGGCAGTATTTCTGGGCAAGACCTAGACAGAGGGCATCAGGCCCCTTAGCCATCATCTTCACACCAGTGAGGTAACCTAGGTGGCAGTGCACGTTACTCGGCCATCTGGCCATCCGCAGCCACATGCCCTCTGCCAGCAGGAGGGTGGGCTCGGGGGCCCCAGAGGCAGGCAAATGTGATGAGGGCCCAAGTGAGGATGGTGATGGGGACAGGGCCGATGCGGGGGCCCTTTCTCCTCCCTCACGGTGCCTGCCCCAGACCTGGCCGCCCACTGTGACCTCAGGAGCAGCGCTGCCCCACACTTCCTCTCGTGGCTCGAGGCGAGGTGCTGGGTGCTTGGACTGAATGTGCTGGGTGGGAAGGGAAGGCAGCGGGGAGGGACAACCTCTCTTCTGCCCCTGGAGGCACCCAGAGGGGTTTGCTGCAGGACGTTTGTGTTAGGCCAGGATCTGAGCAGGGGACAGGAGGCTGGATGGTGGAGGGGGACGCAGGGAGCCAACAGAGGCCAGACCGGGCTCCTGAGCCACCTACGTCCCTTGCTGCCCGGCACCCAGCGGTGTGGCTTCTGGTGCAGATGTGTGGCAGATGGACGTGAAGGGTGGCCATGGCTCAGGGCAGGTGTCAGGCCAGGCTGCCAAGGGCCTGTTTGCTTGCAGCCTTGAGGGGACCACAGCAGCATCAAGGACACAGTGCCGCAGACCTGGCTGCAGGACACGGGGCTCCCCAAGTCAGATGGGGGAGCTGAGACCAGTGCTGGCCACTCTCCCAGGAGGACCAGGGCCTGGGCTGGCAGCAGATGAGGCCTAAGTGTCTGGGCTGTGAGCATCAGGCACAGAGAGGGGTGGGGCTGTGGGGCTGCCTGGCCCAGATCTCAGGGCTTGGGGCTTGGAGCGCCTGAGCTGGGGTTGCCAGGTGCAACAAATTTAAAAGAAACACACACAGGACATGCTTGCATCAGTGATGCACTGTCCCCTTGGACTGGGGGACAGGTGAGGCTGCCTGGACTCTGGACAAGGGGGCATGCAGGCATCTGGCTGCAGCGGGAAGCAGAGGCCCCAGCACCCAAAGACCAGTGGGCCTTGAAGATGTCTATGGAAGGAGCTTCGGGGACCACGGAGGAGGCAGCGGAAGAGGGCCAGGACCAGGACAAGGTCCTAGGCGAACATCACAGAGGCTTCGGGGAGGAAGCCTGGTGTCTTGACCTGCGGCCAGCTATGAGTGCCAACCGGCAGGTCTCAGGGGCCCAATTTTGGGACAAGGCGCCACAGGTGGTCATCACCAGACAAGTCCGAGGTCCCATCCCCTCTTCGTCCGCCCCCAAGTCCCTTCTGATCACCTCGCTGCTCACTGGAGTCAGCGGTTTGGATTCTGTCTTCCTTTCCTGCAGCCCAGATGGGTTCTGAGCCCGGTGAGCGTTCACGGCGCCTCCTGTGGGTTGGGCCCCGGCTGCCGGGCTCCAGCGCAGGGAGACGGACCCTGAGCTCCTAGAGAACACTGTGCAGACCTTTCTGAGAGCATGGGACATGCTGCCCAGCTCCCGAGTCACTGATTTTAACGAGAAAGAGAAAAAAGGCAAGAAAATGCCCCCAGCTAAGATGGTGATGGGACGCTGACGCTGACGCTGCCTGAACATTCGAGACCGAAATCTAAGCGCTCGCTGTGTTCTAACTAAGCCATGATCCAAGTGTTACTGGGATCCCACTCCACAGACGAGGAGACTGAGTCACAGAGCTGGCTAAAGGCTGAGCAGGATTCATCCCACAGTAACCAAGTCTGGGGGGCCCAACACCCCACTCATCCCTGGGGACTTGAGCCTCCACCCTGTGCACGTGTCTCCCACCCAGCCCTGACTCCACCTCATCATGTGGAGGCCCCTCAAGCCCTGAGACCCAGCTGGCCCAGAATGGAGCTTCCCAGGAGACCCTGTCCCACACCCCGAACTTGTCTGGTCAACAGTCTCGGTCATTGGCACCCATCCACCAAGTGCTCGCGCTCGGGCCAGCTCAGGTCATGCACCCGTGTCCCTGTGCCGGCCGGTGCTTTACCACCAAATCCCAAAGCTGCCACCCTCCCGCCTTCCCCATACCCAGGTCCTGGTTAGCAGCCAGGGTGGCTTTCCGGCCTGGATTAGGGTCTCAACCCTCTCCCAGTCACACCAGCACCTCCCCAAGGTCAAGCTGAAAATCTTCTGCCACCTTCCCGGGCACCAAAGAGAAAGCCGCTCGCAGCGCTGCCTGGGGGGCCCACCCTGCACCCCAGTTCCTGCCCCTTCCTCTCCCTCCTGCCCTTCACAGGTCAGGGTGGCCCCTGCTGGAGACCCAGCGCCTGCAGCTCCTGCCCTTGCTAGGGCTGCAAGGCTCCAGGGCTGCCGGCCACGCCCTCCCACCTCCTGCCCACTGCCCCACCGCATCTCCTGCTCCTGGGTGCGACCCCCTTGGCTGCGGATGGCCGGATGGCCGAGTAACGCGCGCAGTCTTGCAAGCTTGTTGCCCCTGTGGTTTGATTTCGCCTCCCTGCTGCTGGGCGCCGTGGAGGACCTTTCATCCCACGGTAACCAAGTCTGGGCTGCTTCTAACACTCGCTTGCACTCGCTTGTAAACTGAGTGATTGCTTGCCTCGCTTTGAATCAGTCCTTCTGTATTTTGACAGGAACCCTTCAGATGTGTGTTTGTGTTCTCGCACCCTGAAGGTCGTGGCTTCCTCGTGGTGACAGTGTCTTCTGCTGTGCTTCTGAACTCAATGCAATCCCATTTCTCTATTTTTGTTTTGGGGACATAGCCAAGAAATCACTGTGAAAAGCAATGTCAGGGAGCTTTTCATCTGTGTACTTTTAAAGTAGTTTTGTAGCTTCAGGCCTTATGGCTAAGTCTTGAGTTCACTTTGAGTTGGGGTTTGTATACGGTGTGAGGTAAGGGTCTAATCTCATTTCTACGCTGAACATACCCACTTTTTTCAACACCGCATATTGAAGAGCTGTCTTTTCCCTGCTGGGGTCTTGGTGCCATTCATTGGTGACAGCAGGTCCCAGGACGCACCTGTTTATCAGGCACCCCTGGGACATGGAGTAAAGCCTGTAGCCCCTGCACTCCACACTGAGGCGGGCAGGCAGACCAAAGCAAGTAAGAAACGGTTTCCATTTGAGCCTGCGAAGGCATGGCTTTCTGTCCAGCCTGATTTGTTGGATCAGGTAACTCTATAAAAAGAGAAAAAAAATCCTGCAAACCCAGCTTAAGGGTTATTTATTCTCTGCAGAATCCCTGGAGGATCTCGTCTGCCATCAGCCAGCGGCTCCCCTGTGGCCTGAACCCGCCAGCATTCCCTCCTCTGTGCCTGCCTTATTTATGCAGAAATCTATTACACCAGTCACCTGGGGATTTACCAAAAGGCGACCAACTCCGTGGTTTTCCCAGGAGTGGCTTCCAGCCAACCAATTTAAGCAAACAGGGTGTCAATTTCTCAGGTGCCCGGGTGCTGAGAGACCGGCTCTGTATCTTCCCACTGCACTCAGATAGAGGTGTCTGCAGAGGGCTTTCCCCTGGAAGGAGATGGCCGGGGTGGAGTATTCAGGTACCTCTGGAATGACAAATCCATGCTGGTGACACTTTATGCTTTGTTATCCTTTCTTTTTTTAAAGCATGAATCGAATTCAGGGTCTTGCACTTGCCAGGCAGGTGCTTATGGGTCTGTTATCCTTTAGTGCTACTCACAAGTTAAGAGCACAAGCCCAGTGCCTCATTAGAAAGTTCAAACCCCAGCACTGCCACTGAGCGGCCACGTGGTCTCGGGGCTGGCTCTTTAATTGCTTCGCTGTCTGGTCCTCTCTCC